CTGCAACAACCATGTGTGAGAGGGGCTTTGAGAACTTATTTATGTTGTCTGGAGGTAAGTGGGGATGGGCAGGACTCCCTGAGATCTCGGGTGGGTAGATCGAGAGCAGAGAGCGAGGGTTGTGTGAGCTGGAGATTGGAAAGAGCTGGATATTCAGCTCTGTCGAGTGTTTTATGTGTGACTGGTAAAATCACTGATAATCATAGAATCAGAGAATGGTTTGGGTTGGAAGGGACCTTAAAGATCATCTAGTTCCAATCCCCCTGCTGCGGGCAGGGACACCCTCCACTAGACCACGTTGCCCAAAGCCTCATAATGCGTGATCTATATGTCTACAGGCCTGAAGGTCCTCGCACAGAAGATTCCAGAAGGTCTGATCACCGGCTCACTCCCCGTGTCCTGCCAGGTGGCAGCTCCCACTGGATCTGCCCGAAAAAAGACTTCTCCCAAAGTGCCACCCGCGCCTGCTGAGAATAAATGGAGATTTTCTGCAGATGATCTACAAAAGATAAAGTTCTACTTGGAAGAGGAGCACATTCCTTCAGATGCTGCCAGTAAGACTCCAGGACAAATGCTGCGGCCGCTTTCTGTAGCTCTTGAGCCTGCCCTGCAGCAGTTCTCTGCTTTGTTCTAGTCTTTCCATGAGACTGCTGGGAGAGGGAGAATGTTTGGGTTTTGTTTGGTTTTGGGGGTTTTTTTTGTTTGGTTTTGGTGTTGTTGGTTTTTTTTCAAACTGACTGAGAAGATCCACCAAAATCTGTGCTGTGCTGATCCCAGAGCACTTAAATCTTGTATAGCTACACAGTCGCAAAATCCTGGACCTGCTGAGGGTGGGCATTTACGATTCTGCCCACTATATTTAAATGTCTTTAGGTTTTCCTGGTGATTAGTAAGTTTTTCAAATTCTTAGGCCTGCACAGCTAGGTAGAGAGTGCCTAGAACCCCCCACTGAATTATTCGTGGGTCTATATGTTTACAGTGAGAGCTGGAGAGCCAGTGAAGGCAACAGATCATTTGTGTGTCCTTGTGCCCCATCACACATGCAGCTGCTGATTTTTTTTTCTATTTTTTTTTTTCCCCCAGGCCGTCTTAGCCGTGGTTCTTCAGGCCGTGATTCCAAGGTGACAACTGTGAGGAGCAGCCCCAGTCTCCCTAGCACCGCTGGCAACGTGGGATCCGTCACCGCTCGTTCGCTCAGCAGGAGCAGCCTCCAGAACAGGCCGTGGAAATAAGCAACGGTGTCGTCTTCCACTGAATAAATGAGTGTCCAGATTCTGGGAACCCTGAGCGGTGCAGCCCGTTTGTCGTTTTAGGAATCCACAGAGAAAAGCAGCGGTGATATAGAAATGGCAGCTTGGGTAAGGCTGGGGGAGCTGGAACGGTTGACATTTCATAGAAGCAGGAACAATATCGCTTTGGCAAGGCTGCCTTTTAGGTGCAGTGTCAGGACAGAGTTGATAGAACTGATTTTGTAGGGGAGGGAGGAAACTGGTAGTAAAGCCTGCGACCAGTAGAAACGGTTCTGCAAAGCTTGTAGTTCAGACAAATGAATTTGTGTCTGTAACGTACTCCTGTGCTGTGCCCGGAACTGCAGACACTGTGAGCAGGAGAACACGTGAAGGTAAATGGGCCAGAAATTGTCTGTGAGCAAAAACTGTGGTGTTTTGTAGCAGAGATACAGACATTCAGCAACTTGCCAAAATGTTGGAGAGAGGATTCCGTGGTTTGGGTTTTTTTTAATTTATGTTAATGAACGGAAGTATTTGTAATAAAGATGTTTTTGGCAATAATGCCCAGCGTGGCACTGTAACGTGACAGCTGCATTTTCTCATGGACAGTTTGTGAAACAGTTTTGTATTTTTAAAGGTGAGCTGGAGGAAAAGATAACTGTGTTTTTTCCTCTTTTTCTCCCTTATTATCTGGAAGGTTTGGCTTCTAACTGTGCTTTTCCTGCTCTGCTGTGGTTACAGAGAGCGCTACTATGTGGTGATTTTGGTTCTAAATGAGAGAGTAAGGCTGCCAGATGTGCTGAGCAGGGTTTTAGCTGACATGTCTTAGAGCAAAATCACCTGCTCTGCCCCTCCTCTTGGTGTGCAGGCAGAGTGTCTTCTTAGTTTGACTGCACGCTGGTGGTTTGCTCCTTTTCTGACTTGCCAGAGCGGGCTGCAGGTCACTAGAGCTGCAGAAAACTACAGTGTACACAGAGGAGCCGGTCACTGACTTCCCTAACCATCGTACAGGCAGCTGCCAGTCAAGGTTAGGAGGGAGAGCGTCATTTTGCTTCGTAAAATGCTTTTCTGCTATTTGGAGGCAAGCTGTGTTCTTCAGTGGAGCAGCAAAGAGCTCTGCAGTTCCAGTGCCTGATAGAGGCTGGAAATTTATTCCCAGTTATGCCCTTGCCAGTGGGGTTTTTTTTTTGAGTAGCTTCTTTAAGGTTAAGGTGGTTGAAGGGAAATTTTCTTCTGCCCTCTCACCAGGGTCCCTAAAACCAGGGACCATGAATCTGGTAACTGAACAGGGCGTGAAGATCTCATTGAAAACAAGTATCACAGCTTTCCATATTGGTATGTGACCACCATACCAATATTAGCTGGGTGACCTAGAAATTACCTGAAACTACCCAGTGACGAAGCAGAGTTGCCTACTAGAGACCATCATAGGTGACTCAGAGAGATCCTGCTCTCTAGCCTTGACCTACAGCATTGCTCAGGTTGGGCCAGCTTTGGTTTCTTGGGCTTGTGAGGTTTTTGTGCCTGGCTTTTTGGATTTCAGTGGATTTTGTCCCCCCCCACTTTTTGAAGTAGAATCTTCAACATACCCCAAAATTCACCTGTGGTGTGGATCATCAGGGAATAATTCTGATTAAAGGGTGAGAGAAATTGCGCCTAATTTCCTGTTTGGCAATTTAAGACTCAACATCCCTGAGCACATTTATTGTGTTTGTTGTGTCTCCATGAGTCTTAAATCAGAGGAGTGCTGATACAGGGACTCAGTCTCATTCTGATGACAGCCGTGACCTCAGCGCTCTCCAGAGAAGAGCGAGGTGGTGAACACAGAGCTCTGATGCTGTGTAGGGATCCCCCGGAGGGAGAATAAGGGGAGAAATCAAGAGGCTTAGAGCAGAGCCAACATTTAAAATGCACTGAACAAAGAGCTGAATGCCCCCATGTGTTCGAATACACATCTGTATTTTTATGCGTAACAAAATCTAAATACAGGGGGTTACCTTAAAGCTCCCAACTTCCCAAGGAAACCCTTGGGTGCTTTACGTTGTACAAACCAGCTCTCATTTGTACAAACTGTCCTTCCAACCCCTCAAAAACAGATGAAAAAATTAAAGATCTTATTTCAGCCCACCCTTAGGAAGCTGGATGCATTTCACCATCTTACTAACTGCTCTGCTTTCTTACCTTCCTATTCCATCCTACTTCTGGAAGACTTCTTGTTGGTTTAGTTTTAGATGTGTTTATTTTGAATGAAGTAGTTTGTCCTCTGGGTCAGAGTGGTTGGCTTTCCGTGGAACAGCAGCATCGCTTCTTGAGAGAAAAGTGTTTATTTAAGTGGTATGAGCTCAAAGCTGGAGCCACAGGGGACCTGCTTGTCCACACTCTTCTTCACTCGCAGCCTTGGGAAGCTGATTCAGCTCTTGGGGCTTTAGTTACTGAGAGGTGATGCTATTTGGTGGCCTAATGAAATAAATAAAAGCTAAATAAAACAGAAATGCTGTGTTTAGCTTTGAAGATATAACATGGCTCTTGCAGCTGCGTAGTCTGATCTCGATATCCCGAGTCCGCTGCTGCTTCTTGTACAGCACTTCCATTTTTATGTCGTCGTGAAATAAGCGGTATCTCCTGTGCAATTCAGTTTGTAGCTTGCCTAGGCTGGTTTTCTGAAAAACAATACTACCTGATTGATTTAGCTGAATGCACGCAGGAGAGGTGAGAGCCAAGAGCCATTTATTAAGTGCTTGAAAGACACGGACCAGCGCGGCACGCAGGGTCCCACCGGTGTGCGAGTAGGAGATCTCTCAGCTCCACAAGCCTTTGGAAGTGTATAAAATGCATCTATCTGAAAATGGGGATGAGAGCAGTGGTCATTGTGTTGGCTTAAAGTCCTGATTTTGAGAGACGGATCCAAAATCCCTGGCCGCTCTGGGCTGCGTGAGAACTTCCTTCTGAAACGGACGGAAAAAACTAATCTGAGCTGTTTAAGATCCTCCAAATCCAGGATGTCAAAGGAAAAGCTGAATGTACTTTCCCGTTGTCTTGATGGATTTTGTATGTTTTTGGACTCTTGACTTAGTATTATTTGGAGGACAGAGTCAAACTCTATATAGTCTGGGAGTTTTAATTTGTTTAATAAAAAGTAAATGACACCATATGGTTGAGTATTTTTTTTCAGTTTGAGCTTTGAGAGCTAACGGAGAGCGTGGAGTGGTGCCTGCAGAAGCTGGGACTCAGCAGGTCTTGGTTCCTCTTCCTCGTGGGACTGCCGTGGGTGAGGAGAGACCTTTCTACCAGCGCTGCAAGCTGGTGTTCAACCACAAAAATACACAGAATAAACCGCGCTAACCCAATTCCATCGCATCCCAGAGCTGCCCCGGCCCCTGGGAGGGCTGGGGAAGGTGGGCACCCCTCCTGCCAGCACAGCTGCGGTGTCCGAGGTCTCTGCTGTGCTCAGGAAGTGTCAGACTGAACCTCTTCCCCTTCCATCCTCTGCCAGAGCAGAGGGAAAACAAGCAACGTTCTTTTCTTTTGTGTCCCACTATTTTCATACTCTTTTAATGCCCTTTTCGGGCCGCTGGGCCAGCGTGCGCTGTTTATATTGGCTGCCACCGTGTCTATCCACAGGAGGGCCGAGTCAATCTCCGAAAAAGCTTTTTCACCGCGATTGAAATAAGAGAAACAACAAAAAGTATTTCTTTATCCTTCTTTACATTTATTTATTGCATTCTTTTCCTCCTCCAGCTAGTTAAACCATCGCTCAGCCCCCAATCCCGATTAGTAGAGATGGTCCAGTGCGTGCTGCATGATGACCTTCAGCGCCAGCCACGTCTCCTCGGCAGTCGGGACGATCTGTTTGGCGGGGAGCAGGAACCCGTAGCGCCCCGTGTCCCGCAGCTCGAAGGTGAAGGAGTATTTAATGCCTTGATTGTACGTCCAGTCGATGGTTCCTCCGCTCGCTTGATCTGAGTGGGGAAACAACGGGAGGGATGTGAAACGTTAGTCGCTTTGTGTCCTACGGGGTTATTTCATAAGGTGCCGAGGTGTCAGTGATGATTTTGGTTTAATGGTGAGGGGGGAAACCACTGCTGTCCCCCCGTTACTCACAGATGGTGGTGATGATGCTGCCATACTTGTAGGAAGTGCCGTACAGAGAAGACAGAGCTGCCACTGCCTTCTCGGAAATCTGGTGCTGAGAATGCAGAGAAGAGAGAAAGATGAGCCAGAGAAGGGGAAAGCCTGTGGGATACAGCCTGCAGGAGAGGTTTCATCCTCGTGCCACAGGCAGAAAGGATCCCAAAGCTTGGTAGCTTTGGCCTGGGGGAGTCCCCAGGGGCTGGCAGAGGAGCCAGGGCTTCTTCTCGGCTTGCCAATGCCCCCTCCACAGTGCGTGATGGAGGTTGCTCCTCCTTGGAGGAGGAGAGCAGCCTCCCATCATCCCGGCCCCCTTCAAACCTCCACGTCGGCCATACCAGTTCCTTCTGGTCAGGCACTGGGGTGCTGGTGTAGCCGTAGGGGTAGAGCAGGAGTTGGGAGTAGCTATGGATGGAGACGAAAGCCTTGATGTTCCCGTGGTTCTTCACAAAGTCCACAATGGCCTTCACCTCGGGCTCCGAGTTGGCATAGGGTCCGTGGTACGTCTCCGAGCAGGGGTTCCCGCTGGCCCCGGGCCCTGTGGAGAAGTGAAAACATGGTGTGGGTGTTTTGGTGGCTTTGGTGGCAGTTGGGTGGCTCAAAGAATCACAAGGTCAAAGGGCCTCTTCCATTTCCAAGCCCAAGAGCTTTTCCCACACCTCAGCTGCTTGGTGGCCAGCAAGGAATGCTCTTGGAGCTCCTCCTAGATGTTTGTGTGGTGGCTTGCATTTGTGGTCCCCACTGTGCTGGTCACTAGGGGACACCAAAGCTCTGGTGGAGCCCAAACCCACATCTCTGCCACAGAGAGTAAATCCCATCTCTTCCCCAGGAGACATCAGTGGATCTTTCTGAGTCAGAAGTGGCCTCAGAGCTTCCACATGGGGGACGGAACGCCTCCGTGGGGTTAGCGGAAGAGTTCTGACCTCCGAAACCTGCGTCCCAGTTGCGGTTGGGGTCTACGCCGACACAGAGGGAGCCCGAGTGCCTGGACCTGGTCTTGCGCCACATGCGGTTCTGGAAGAGCAGAGCCGTCTCAGCTGGTGTCCGGGGTCGGAGCTCCACCAGCCTCAAGTGGATGGGGAGCTGTCATCTGAGAGGGCTAACGGGTCACAGTGGTCCCTTTCCCACCCCATGGAAATGTAGACAAGGAGGATTTGAGCTTTCAGGGGCCTCCGTGTGCAGCTCCCCAGCCTCATCCAGCATGGCTGTAGGAAGGGAGAGGGAAGCCAGGGAGATTACCTGGGTGTGGGTGAAGACGAAGCCATCCGGGTTGGTGACGATCTCCAGGAAGATGTCCATCTTGTCCAAGACAGAGGCCAGACCTTCGTCGTTCTCATGATCCAGGACAATCTAGAGAGGATGGTGGTTTGGGGCTCCCTGGTGCTGCCGGACCACTGTCCTCTCTGTGGGGTAAGCCACTCGGCATCCACGGTGGCTGCAGGACCTCGTGACCCCTGGGGCCATAAGATGTGTCTGGAAGGTGGCCATACCTTCTTGGCGAACCAGACGCCGCTGGCCTGCGTCACCCATTCCCGGGAGTGGATGCCGGTGTCGATCCAGACAGCCGGGCGGTTTGTTCCCCCTCTGCTGAACTGAAAGAGCAGAGGGGGGGCGGTTGCCTTCGTCCTGGGTCCTGCTCCCTCCTCCGGTCACCCCACGAACCCCAAATCCTCACCTTGAGCACGTAGAGGGGACGGTTCTCTGTCGACCGGCCAATCTCAAGCTTGCTGACCAGATTGGGGTTTTCGGCTACCAGCAGGTCCATGAAGGCGTAGATCTGGAGGAGAGGCATGGGGGGGGGGGGCTCACACCTGCCTCGCCCCCTGCCCTTGCTGCACGTGGAGCAAAGGGCTTTGCAAAAGCAGTTTCAGGATGCAGGGGTATTTTGTGTTAGTTTTTTTTTTTTCCCCCCCCTAAAATGCCCCTAATCTTGTGCTTTCTCACCTCGTCCAGGCTGTGGTAGGTAGCATAGTCAAAAGTGCTGGTGGAGAGCAGCAGCTGGCGTCGGCTAC